ATCTCCACACAGGAGGAATGCAGGTGTGTGTGTGTGTGTGTGTGTGTGTGTGTGTGTGTGTGTGATATCTCCACAGACTCAGTTCCACAAGAGCAGCAGCTCTGCTCTGTGCGCTGACTGAGCTATGAGAATCTAACCGGAGCGAGTTACTAAGGCCGGGATTGCAGGGCACGCACATGATTTCCTGAGTCAAGGCAGGCACTCCTAAGCTGGAGGCAGCTGGAGCGGGCAGAGATGAGTGACACAGCAGAGGTTTTATTAATTTTAAATAAAAAGTCAACAGATTGAGCACACTCACATCAAATGTGTGCCAGTTTTACGCTGATTGCTCTCCATGTCTAAGCTGCCCTGTCCAGTTCACACTGGATCCAGCACTTGGTGGTGGCTGTTTTCCTTTCCTCTTTCTTTAGAAAAGCTGTTGTAACAGCAGGGCACCAGGACAGCTCACCTCTCCAGCTGCAACCTCAGAAAGCTCCTGCAGTCACAGGCCAACTCCACATCAATTAACAGAGACAATAAATAAAGCCAGCTTGAACTTGTCAAAGGAACGGCCCTCAAATTCATTCATGAAGCTACAGTACCCACATTCTGACTCACAACAATATTCTGGTTATTAACTCCTTCATCAAAATGCATAAAGAGATCCTCTCAAAATAATCCTGATTGTTTTCAATCTTCAAAACATAATTACCATACCCCATTACTGAAGTATTTTTTCCTCTTTGATGGTTTGGGGGCAAAAATGACAGAAATGTGATAAAGCTGGGCAAAGAGACAATCACATTGGAGGCAGACAGGCTCCAGGATGAGAAAGCAGAGTTCGTAAGGTCCGGTTCCACTCAGTCAGGGGCTGCCACAGCTGTTCCCCACCCATTCACAGGGATCCCAAAAGGAATGCCCTTTGCTTCTCGTCAAAGATGTTTACATGGATGGTGAGTCCTGGGACTCTCAAACCACATGGAAAATTTAAAGCGGCTTGTTCTGCATTTTCCTCCAACTGTGATTTCTAAAACTACACAGGCACCAATTCAAGTAAACTCAATTACTGTAGTGTTAGGAATGAACACACGGAAGCTTCCGAGAAGAGAACTCCTGCTCTGCGGGCTGTCAGAGACAGGGTCCCTGCAAACAACTGTATCTGCCACAAATGAAATCCAACTGCACAACAGGAAGTAATTTCCTACATTCCTGTACTGCCCCTAAGAGTAAAAAAGTGAAGTTTTTTGTGCAGTGTACATATTTATAGAAAGGACCATAAAATATATTCAGCTGGTTTCTTCCCATTTTAATATCACAGTTTAGCTTTGTTTCATACTGACTTTTTCTTGAAATCTTCGTTTTGAACAGTATTTTAAGCAATCCTTATGGCTTACAACAACGTGCAATTTCCTCAGTTAGTGTGTCAGCTTCTGGAGACATGTTGTCTCCTCTCGGGAAACTACCTGGTGGTGTACTGTAGGAAAGAAACTTCGGGGGGGGGGGGGGAGCTTTCCTTAGGAAACCTGTGTGAGACTTCCCTCAGCTCTCACCCACCACCCTCTCATCAAAGACTCCCCTTCAATGCTAAAATCAAGGATTCAGCCAACTGGGGGTCGCCACTCACAAGACTACCATGCACAGAGGTCTGCAGGGTGCAATTACATGAATTTCGGTGCATGTGTGAGTCTGTACATGCTGTGCTCGTCTGGAGCCCAGCAATCAACACTGGGCATCATCCTCAACCCATTTCTCCACCGTATCCTCGTGACACCAGGTCTCGCGATAATTTGGTTAGATCAGCTGACCAGGGAGCCCAGGGCTCCTCCTGTCTGTGCCTTGCCACCCTGGGATACAGACGTGTCCCTCTGGGGTGGGCCGGGCTTCACGTGAGTGACGGGGATCCGAACTCAGATCCCCATGCTTGCATGACAAGCACGCTGCCAGCTGGCACTGATGTCCTCAGCCCCCAACTATGTTACTTCTTTATGGGGGGGTGGGGGGTGGGGGGGGGGTCAAGACAGGGTTTCTCTGTGTAGCCCTGGCTGTCCTGGAACTCGCTCTATAGACCTGGCTGTCCTGGAACTCGCTCTATAGACCAGGCTGGCCTCGAACTCGCGTTACTTTTAATGCATGGACACAATGGAAACAAGACAAGTGCCGGACAACAGTGTGCCAGTTAACAGCAGCTACACTTGCCGGGGCTGGCTCTCTGGGGTGCTCACGAAGCCCAATGTGAACTAAGCATCTCCTCCTAACTCCCGCAGCCCTCTGTGGGCTGGCTGCAAAAGGCACTATTCCCTCCAGAGGAAGGAATCCTGGGTTAGGCCTGCTCCATTCTCATGCGGCACGGGCACTGGCAAGGTCAAAGCCGGCTGTACGTGGCACCTTGGCGGACGGCCGCTGCTCCAGCACCCACTGCCATACCCCAATAATCACATTCTGTCCTGGACCTGGAAAAGGGGGGGCGGGGAAGCTTGTGCTGAGAGCTGTCCCCACAGACAGACAGACGGACGGGCCGCGGAGCCGTTCAGCAACGCGCGGTGCCTGCTGCCCTAAGGGAACACGTAGGTTCCCTCGCCAGCACCCGCAGGGGCCCACAGCTGCCCGTTACTTCAGATCCAGATCCAGAGCCCTCTTCTGGACTCTGCAGGCACTAGGCACTGAAGCTGTGTACTGGCGTATATGCAGGTACAACAACCATACCTATTAAATTAAATTAAAACAAACACACCCTAAAGGGAAAAAACATGGCGGCTACTACAGAAATAACAGCTACTCCACCAGAGGTTGATAATTTTGGTCTGAAAAATACACTAGTGCTCTAAGATAAACAATGAAATCTAGGCCAAAGCTTTCATTGCTGCTACAGATTAATTGACTGGTTTGTAACGAAACGACCCTCCCGACAGTGCTTTCAAAAGCGCCCTATAATTTTAAGTTCTGTGTGAGACTGAAACAGGTTAGGAAGAAGTGAAATGGATCAAACCAACAACAAGAAAGGACAGCCTGAGGGGTGTGTCACAGTCACGGTGGACAGCCTGAGGGATGTGTCACAGTCACGGTGACAGCCTGAGGGGTGTGTCACAGTCACGGTGACAGCCTGAGGGGTGTG